AAAATGTTCTGGCCATTTAACAATTCTAGAGGATCGTAACCTACACATGATTACTTCTACTACACAAAATGTTCTGGCCATTTAACAATTCTAGAGGATCGTAACCTACACATGATTACTTCTACTACAGAAAATGTTCTGGCCATTTAACTGTTCTAGAGGATCGTAACCTACACATGATTACTTTTACGACACAAAATGTTCTGGCCATTTAACAATTCTAGAGGATCGTAACCTACACATGATTACTTTTACGCCACAAAATGTTCTGGCCATTTAACAATTCTAGAGGATCGTAACCTACTCATAATTACTTCTACTACAGAAAATGTTCTGGCTATTTAACAAATCTAGAGGATTGTAACCTACACGTGATTACTTCTACTACACAAAATGTTCTGGCCATTTAAGAATTCTAGGGGATCGTAACCTACACATGATTATTTCTGTTATCATAACTTCAGATGCTAAAAGACCTAATAGTTATTTGCAGAAATGTTTATGTCTACATAATGATGGGATACCTTAGGAAAACATTTTTGTTGAACTTCTAGGATTTGAAAACTATGTGTAGTGGATAAGGCTTTAGTAAACCATCATTACTTTATTTTAGGAACTTCGAGAGGAAATCGCAAATGTTGTTGAGACAATAGGGATTCAACAAGAAAGGTTTGAAAGAATAACTTTTCTTTTCTTGGTTTTGGGGTTGTTTTCCTCTTTTTTTTTGGAATGTATTGCGTTTGTCTTATTTGTAATCAGCTCATTGTATAATTATACACAACCTTTCTTGAGATGTCCTCATGCATTGACAAGTGCACATTCTAAAAGTGTATAATTTTTCCATTTTAACTAATATTTTAACATTACAGATCTGTTACTGAACTGATTCTAGAATAAAGGATGTCAAGTCTAAGATTTTCATTTTAACTAATATTTTAACATTACAGATCTGTTACTGAACTGATTCTAGAATGAAGGGTGTCAAGTCTAAGATTTTCATTTTAACTAATATTTTAACATTACAGATCTGTTACTGAACTGATTCTAGAATAAAGGATGTCAAGTCTAAGATTTTCATTTTAACTAATATTTTAACATTACAGATCTGTTACTGAACTGATTCTAGAATGAAGGATGTCAAGTCTAAGATTTTCATTTTAACTAATATTTTAATCCTACAGATTTGTTAAAGAACTGAATCTAGAATCATGTCTAAGAGAAGTATTAGGTCTTCCTAACACACCTGTGTCTCAATGAAGAATCATAGGTTAAAGCTAGGTTGATTAGTTAAAAATGAGGCTAGATCATTCAACTAGAGCAATTGAAAGGCAAAGCTTTATTATTTACTGTGTATATTTTATATCAATCAAATGTTAATGTAAAATTGGACTATTCCCTGTGTCTCTGGTATACTTGATGAACAGATATCTATGAGGCTGTGGTGATTATTCTACGTATGTGTGGCATAGTTGATGAACACATATCTATGAGGTTGTGGTGATTATTCTATGTATGTGTGGTATAGTTGTTGAACATATATCTATGAGGCTGTGGTGATTATTCTATGTATGTGTGGTATAGTTAATGAACAGATATCTATGAGGCTGTGTAATTATTCTACGTATATGTGGTATAGTTGATGAACAGACATCTATGAGGCTGTGGTGATTATTCTGTGTACGTGTGGTATAGTTGATGAACATATATTTATGAGGCTGTGGTGGTTATTCTTTGTATGTGTGGTATACTTGATGAACAGATATTTACGAGGCTGTTGTGATTAGAATAATCACAACAGTATTGTAAATATCTGTTCATCAAGTATACCACACATGTATAGAATAATCATTACAGTATCGTAAATATCTGTTCATCAACTATACCACACATACAAAGAATAATCGCCACAACCTCATAAAGATATGTTCATCAAGTATATCACATATACATAGAATAATCACCACAGCATCATAGATATCTGTTCATCAACTATACCACACATACATAGAATAATCACCACAGCCTCATAGATATCTGTTTGTCAAGTATACCACACATACATAGAATATGTATGTGTGGTATAGTTGGTGAACAGATATCTATGAGACTGTGATGATTATTTTATGTATGTGTGGTACAGTTGGTGAACAGATATTTACGATACTGTTGTGATTATTCTATATATGTGTGTGGTATACTTGATGAACAGATATTTACATACTGTTGTGATTATTCTATGTATGTGTGGTATAGTTGAAGAACAGATATCTATGAGGCTGTGGTGATTATTCTATGTATATGTGGCATTCTTGATTAACAGATATCTATGAGGCTGTGGTGATTATTCTATATATGTGTGGTATTATTGATGAACATATATTTACGATACTGTTGTGATTATTCTATGTATATGTGGTGTAGTTGATGAACAGATATTTATGAGGCTGTGATGATTATTCTTTGTATGTGTGGTATAGCTGAGGAACAGATATTTATGAGGCTGTGGTGATTATTCTGTATATGTGTGGTGTATTTCATGAACAGACATTTACAATACTTTGGTGAATATTCTATGTATGTGTGCTTTAGTTGATGAAAAGATATATACGATACTGTGGTGATTATTCTATATATGTGTGTGATATAGTTGATGAACAGATATTTACGATACTGTGGTGATTATTCTATATATGTGTGTGATATAGTTGATGAACAGATATTTATGATACTGTGGTGATTATTCTATATATGTGTGTGGTATAGTTGATGAACAGATATTTACGATACTGTGGTGATTATTCTATATATGTGTGTGGTATACTTGATGAACAGATATTTACGATACTGTTGTGATTATTCTATGTATGTGTGGTATAGTTGATGAACAGATATTTATGAGGCTGTGTGATTATTCAATGTATGTGTGGTATAGTTGATGAACAGATATTTATAATGATGTGGTGATTATTCTATGTATGGTATTGTTGATGAACAGATATCTATGAGGCTGTGGTGATTATTCTATGTGTGTGTGGTATAGTTGATGAACAGATATTTATGAGGCTGTGGTGATTATTCTATGTGTATGCGGTATACTTGATGGGCATTTTGGAGAACAAGGATGAAATTATTCGGGTCTTTTTACCTTATTTAAATGTGTCCCTGATCTCTTTGCTTCTTTTCAGTTGAAAGACTATTTAGAGCACTATCCTAAGAGTTGTTGAAGATGATGCTCATCTTCTTCAATGCTTATCTTGAAATGTGTGGATGATGGAACTACACATTCATTGTTTATCTTGGTATGTGTGAATGATGATGGTCATCCTTTCCATGCTTTTCTTGGGATGTGTGAATAATGAAGGTCATCTTTTCCATGCTTATCTTGGGATGTGTGAATGATGAAGGTCATCCTTTCCATGCTTATATTGAGATGTGTGAATGATGAAGTTCATCCTTTCCACGCTTATCTGGGATGTGTGAATGATGAAGGTCATCCTTTCCATGCTTATCTTGTGATGAGTGAATGATGAAGGTCATGCTTTCCATGCTCATCACGAGATGTGTGAATGATGAAGGTCACCCCTCCAATATTTATCTTTATATATACTAAGATACTTGTCTGTTCTCTCCACTACAGGGTGTTATACAAAAGTGTTTTTTTCTTCCTTATGCCTGTTGTTACTCACTGCCAATTATCACACATTAAATATGTAATTGTAGTAATACACACTAACAATTACTACATATTTAATATGTAATTGGATGACAAGAATGGTGACTGATATGGTATATTCAAAGCAATACACATGCCAGTAGAAAACAGAAAAAAATCAGATATCCTGTGGTCATGGCACCAAATTTCTCTCCTTCCTATCCACTCTGCGGTACATTCTAGTAAAAGTGAGTTAATCTTAGAGCAATGGGATAGGTCCACTTAATAACAGTACAACATTAACTCCTTATGCTCTCTGAACAACTTCTAAAGATGTTTAATAAAACTTAGTTAATGGTACAGGCTAAACTTAAAAAAAAGGACTTAAACTTCATTTACCAAACTGAAAGCTTGAGATTAAGAGATTATAGTATTAAAGCCCGAGATTATAGTATTAAATCCCGGGATTATAGTATTATATCCTGAAGGACACGGTTGTTATAACTTTGAGAAATCACCTGACCTACATTAAACGACACAGTTGTTATAACTTTGAGATATCGCCTGACCTATATTAAAGGATACAGTTGTTATAACTTTGAGATATCACCTGACCTACATTGAAGGACACAGTTGTTATAAATTTGCGATATCACCTGACCTACATTAAAGGATACAGTTGTTATAACTTTGAGATATCACCTGACCTACATTAAAGGACGCAGTTGTTATAACTTTGAGATATCACCTGACCTACATTGAAGGACACAATTGTTATAACTTTGAGATATCACCTGATCTACATTGAAGGACACAGTTGTTATAACTTTGAGATATCACCTGACCTACATTGAAGGACACGGTTCTCTATATTCTTACACAATGTGCAGTATTACAACAAAACTTTCATGAACAAAACAGGTGAAATCCCAGAAAATGACAAAGGAGCAGAGACAGTTAGAACAAAATAAACTTAATGACTTTCTTGACCATTTAAAAACTGTACATACTCAGTTTTGAAGGATACTACATTAAAACAAGATAGAAACACATGATAGATCTACATACCACATTGAACATGTTTTATTCATGACTGCTGAGCTATTCCATTGATAAGTTTTGTAAGCCAAAGCTTTAATATTTAATATGTTCTTGTGTTAGTTAATGAATCCTATAGAAATTAAAACTAAATAGGTACTATCATCTTGAAACATTTGATATATACTATTACACTTTATAATATCCTGTGTGAGTAAAGCACTTTTTTAATAAGTTAAACTTCAGGTTCATTTGAAAGTAAAAGAACCTTTCATAATAATGGTTGTGAAGAGTTAACAGTTTCACATTTTTATCTAATCAGAACTTTAACTACTGCACTTACGGTCACTTTCTATACACTAAACTTGTGCTTTTTTTGTTTTCTTTTATGTGCATACACTTAAATTTCTTTCTTCCAATTAATACTTACAGCAAAACAACAACGGAAGAAAAACACTTATCAATTGGGAAAAAGAAATTCAATATGGACCCTAAAAAGGTAAACAATAAATAATACATATATATCTATATTGCAAAAATAATGTAATCTATATTATGTCAATAGCAATACCAATATGTGTAATGGATATACCAGGATGTAACCTGTGTTGTGTTATTCATAACAAGTGTAACAGATGTAGCAGAATGTCATTTGTGTTATTAATAACAAGTGTGACAGATGCAACATAGTCAGTTCTCATAAAACATCGATGTTTTAATGAGAACTAAGTATGTTGAAGAGTGGAACAGAACAGTGATGTTTTATGAGAACTAAGTATGTTGAAGAGTGGGACATATGTTTTATGAGAACTAAGTATGTTGAAGAGTGGGACAGAACAGTCACTGTTCTGTCCCATTCTTCAACATACTTAGTTTTCATAAAACATCACTCTTATGTCCCACTCTTCAAAATGCTTAGTTCTCATAAAACCTCACTGTTCTGTCCCACTCTTCAACATACTTAGTTCTCATAAAACATCACTGTTCTGTCCCACTCTTCAAAATGCTTAGTTCTCATAAAACATCACTGTTCTGTCCCATTCTTCAACAAAAATAACAAGTGTAACAGATGTAGCAAGATGTGAAAAGGATGTAATCTGTGTTTTGTTACTAATAACAAGTGTAACAGATGTAGCAGGATGTACTCTGTGTCTTGTTGTTGATCACAAGTGTAACAGATGTAGCAGAATGTAATATGTGTTGTGTTAGTAATAACAAGTGTAACAGACATAGCAGGATGTACTCTGTATCTTGTTGTTGATCACAAGTGTAACAGATGTAGCAGAATGTAATATGTGTTATGTTAGTAATAACAAGTGTAACAGACATAGCAGGATGTGACAAGGATGTAATCTGCATTGGTGTGATTCATAATAAGTGTAATTGATACACGAAGCTGTACATGTTACTTAATCTGTGCTGTGTTATTAATAACACATGCACAGGAATTTGGGAAGTATGTAATTTGTTGTGTTGTTAATAACGTGTAACAGTATGTTAGAAGGATGTAATCTGTGTTGTGTTATTAATGATAAGTTTAATGGATGTAGCAGGTTGTAATCTATATTGTGTTCTTAATAACAAGCGTAACAGATGTAGGAGACAGTTATGTTGTTTACATTTGTATTTTACAGAGATATTTGGGTACTTTGTGTGAGCTCTCAATATTTAATATTCATATTTAATATTTAGGTAAACAAAATAAAAATTGCAAAAATTCATTACTACAACATATCAACAGGAATTTATTGAAAAATACTTGAAAGTGTTAAACGTTTGACGTACTTTTGTTAGAGTATACATTCACAGACATATATACATAATCAAACAAAAAATAACACCCCTAATTTGTACTGAAGTTTAGCAATGTTACTGTTTAGTTATTTAATATGTACTGAAGTTCAGCATTTCAGTGTTATTGTTTAGTTAGTATCATCTGGAAGAATTTATGTGTTTCTAATTTTTTGTATATACATATATAGAAATATATACACGCTTTCATACATTTGATAATATTATTATTACCAAATTCTTTCCCCAGGGAATTGAGTATCTAATAGCTCAAGGTCAACTTGATGATTCTCCTCAAGATATAGCTCGGTTTCTCTACAAAGGTGAAGGTTTAAGCAAAACTGCAGTAGGAGAGTATTTAGGAGAGAGGTGATTGTCAAACCTTACTATTCCTTTGTAAACTTCTTGTTTCGACAATAGTGGATGTAAACTTTATTTTATGTTATATTACTCCACATGATATTGTGTATTTACTTGCTATATAATTTTTATTTATTTTATTTTTTTGCTGTTGAAGTTAGTGAGACAAGTTTCCTAGGCTAATTTTATTCGGGCCCAAACAGCAAAATAATGTAAATAAAATAAATTATCTAGCCAGTCCTTAGCCATAGTGTACAGTCAGAAGCAAACTTATTTATCGAAACACATGTTAATTTCCAATAAGTTTATTAGCAAAACACTATTTCATAGGCTTCGTTCGAAACTATGCTATATCATAAAGTTTTAAAATTAAAAATGCCTTTTTAAATAGATTTGTCTGTAAAGTCAGAATTTACCTGAGGAAGATATAAGTCTGTGATATATTTTCGTTTTCCAGGGACGACTTCAATATCAAAGTACTGGATGCATTTATTGAACTCCATGATTTCGCAAACTTGATCCTTGTACAAGCACTCAGGTAATTTCTAATTATTAATTATTATTTTTACAATTAATAGATGAAAGTTTCTTAAAGAATCTGTATTGTTATTATAGCAGATTTTTAGGATTAGGAAAAGAGAATTATATCTCTCAATAACTTTGATATAACCGCTCATTTCGCTCTAAAATGTGATACCCCTTCCCCAGTGGTACAGCGGTGAATTTGAAGGCTAAAACCATATTTCGATACAAAACGTGGGCACAGGACAGATAGCCCAATGTGTAGCTTTGCGCTTAACAACAAACTAAAATCTGATAATTATTGTATTCAAATGAAATATTGATTTTTAATATACTTTTCCTAATTCTTGTATAAAATTTAAACAGTTAATCAAATAATTTCACAAAAAAACATCACCATTAAAAGTAGAAATCAAACCAGAAAATATAACTTGGGAAAGATAAAAGTTTGTATTATTTTTTTTTACATGTTTTACTTTCCTACTAATAAAACATAAGTATTTGTAACTTGGTTACTTATGAGAAATAAATAGTTTTGTTTTGTAATTAAGCACAAAGCTACACAATGGGCTATCTGTGCTCTGCCCACCACGGGTATCGAAACCCGGATTCTTGCGTTGTAAGTCCGCAGACATACCGCTGTGCCACTGGGGGGCAAAATATAAATAAATAGTTTATGTTTTATGTTAATGTATAAGTTAGATTCAAAAGATTTGGAACTTTTAAATTAAGCTATTATCAAAGTGAAAGTAACGGCTTTATTTTGTACTCATAAAATAATTTTGGTCCGGTGGTTAGGGCACTCATATTGTTATAACGATCTTTCTTTACGGATTCTTTTAAAATATGAGGTGAAAAATAATTCACCGTCGTCGGATCCAGTTCACTTAATCAGACGAAATCAGTTAATTTCCTCTTTTTAAACGTTTCGACTCTTTAAACTGTCGTAATTTGTTAGGTCTACGTTTACAAATGACATTTTTATCACTCTAACCATAGATAAAAGTAACACTCGATTGGAAGTCACGTGATTTTCGGCATGTGCAAGCGACCGCCATTGCTACGTGTTGAACTTTCAAAGCCTACCAGTCAAACTGTCAAATGGCAAGGCGATTTTACCTCACAACGTATGGCTGTTTTCCAATTCCATCTAAACTAGACGTTTGGATAATTTTGTTATTGATTTTAATAAATTTGTCAAGCCAAGATGATCTAAACTTGATTTTAACTTAGAAATATCAGACCTATCTGACCTGTCATATGAAGGATTTTAGCCTAGTGGGAAATCTTAAGATTAAAATCTGCTCTTTTTCATGTTTATATTATGTGTCACAGAAAAATATACATCTCAAATATTGTTGCCAAAGAACAAGAGGTAGCGCATCATGCCCTTTTCTTGAGAGTGGAGAAGAATGTCATTTATGTATCTGCACAAAACCTTCAACGTTTTTAATTAAGAAAATGTATGAT